CCTCAATCTGGCCGTACATCTCGGGCTTGTTCTCCTCCATCGGCCAATACTGGCAACACATGACTCGTATGAAGTCAAACACTTTGGTCAACATTACGATAAGCATTGAATTCTGTTCCCAAATGAGTTTCCAGAAGTCGTTTATAGTGAACTCATTGGGTCCCTGAGCGGCAATGTATGCGTTCGGCTTCAATATGCTCTACACATAGTGTACACACAGATTGTTATCAACAAAATTATTAATTAATGTAAAATATTATTTTGTTTAACAATTATAGGAATTGTGCCAAAAAGAGTATACATAAGCCTATTATGAATGTGTCTTTATATAGAGAAACACATTGTTTGGCCGACACTTACATCAACATAGGATGCGTTCACATAATCGGAATCGGGTTCGTCCGGAGTGTGTGACAGAACCACACGATTGAAGTCATCTGTATTTTTAATTGAAAATTTTATAAATATTTTTAAATAAATATACAACCATTTGAATTATTATCATATTTGCAATTAAATACGAAAACTCTCACAACTATATCATACAATTTCGTAGAAATAAATTTATATAAATTTCTTGTAAATATTATTCAGAATTTCTGATTTGAAAACAAAACTATATTTAATTTCCTTGATAAAAACGAGGACATAAAATGATGTTATATATACTGTATATACAAATGTCAGCAATTTTTCAGTCAAATGACAAAAAAATTGTTGAATTAATGACTTACAGGGCAGACATTTTTTGGGGTATGTATTCTTGTGATCGTTGGCCTCTTTCATGGCGTGATGTGTACTGTGTTTAGTTGTCGTCTCGTTTTTTGACGCAAACTATTAATTTATGCAACAAATCAATCAAATTAGGCTTAAAAATACCCCCGAAAAACAATTCACAAAACAATGCATTTTATAGTAATAGTAATTATTTTTTAAAAATAATAAAGAATTTGGTTTTCCGATCAATAGTTTGATAATATTTTGAGTATAAAAAACATTAATTGAAAGAATGTAATAATGTCTTTAATGGCAATAATAATACATTAAAATTAATTCAATAATATTTACATTAATATAATATGTTTTGAGGAAATGTTTTAATGATAATAAGGTTAGTTTTGCACGAAAACTGGTAATTAAGCTATAATTTTGAAATGTCAATTTAGATAAATGTATAATTAATTTCATATAAAATCACTTTACTTTGTTTTATAAATTTATTAATAAACAAATAATTGCAAATTCGTCTTAAAATATTTATTATAACTGTTATATAACCAAAATGCAACAAAACATCCCATAATTCAATCATTCAATTCAATAATATATTATACAAAACTAAAATAATGAACAAATTAATTAAAATTTAGTTTACATCTAAACAGAGGCTTATTCTTATGCGATATACTGTTGTATTTTCTAACATAATGTTAATAATAAATATTTATGTAAAAAAACATATAGTATGCTCTCACAAAATGCTAATCTCAGCACATATTAGGCCTTAAAGTATTAGCAATTAAAGTATAATAAAGGAATTTAAAGGAATTAACAAATAAATTAAACAATTAATGCAAATATTGTCATCCATGGGATGCAATGAAATTGTGTACAAATAAGTGCACAACAAATATGAGGACATAAATGGATAACAACTCACATGAAATTCAATCTTCGGCAGCACTTCATACTTCCTCATGAGCTGAATGTGAGCGTTGAATGTGTCAAAGTCTATGGGCTTTTGTGGCACTATTTTCATGGCACTGTGCACATCATGGTCAAACGGTATCAAACCGCTATTCAATATGGACAATTGGATCTTGTTGAAACTTGAAACTTTATTACCACTCATTATGATATTTATTAATATGTATATAAAAAAATCTCAATACAAAAAACACCAAATTATTATTTGGCACATAAAACCCCTCCTATAGACTACACACACACTATTGCTATACAAAAACACTAAAGCTTTAAACAGTATATTCACGAGTCTATAGCGAATACAGAGTGAAAAAAAGTATATATAATATTCTGTAACTCAACAAAAATCACACATCATTTTAATGTTTCTCTTCTCAACAAATCAACTAAACTGTTATATTTTGGTCCCAAAAACGACTCACAACTATATTTATACTATAAATAAACTGCAAAAACTTTTTCAGCCCAAAGAATTCCCCCTTAAGTTAATATAAAGTTAGATATTCCGCACATATTCTGTGCCATTCCTATCCATACAGTCGTAAACCCGTTGCAAACAAACCTATTATTACACATAAAAATATCAATTATTTCTAACATATAGTCAAGAAATTAACGAAAACACACTTTCGGACAATTAATGCAATCATTAATACATATAAATCGGGTTTAAAATCAATTAAACGGACAAATGGTTGCGCTCGACGTGTGTTGACTGTACGGCACAAACGTATGGCCAGAATGTGTACATTGGATGTCATAAACACTGTTCACGCCATCCATTGGTTGGCATTGAAAGCACTGAATGTGTTGTCATTTGTGGTGATTATAATCACAACAAGTTTTGTCACACGTGTTGTCCATTCAGTGCTCACTTCACAACACATCCCAACACTTCAGACCACAGATCGTAACACATGAGAGACATGTCGTCCACACCGGAGGAGAAGAAGCAGAAGAAGAGACGACACGACGACTCGGAGGCGGACGACGAGACCAATGATGACAAACGACCCAAAGATGAGGACAACAGCGACG